TCCTCCTCCTCCTCCACCTCCTCCTCCTCCTCCTCATCATCATCATCATCATATTTTCCCCTCTCTTTTTACCCTACAGGTCCTTTTGTGTATATACCATGGTTTCTAGTTTAGTGTTGTTATGGGATTCCTAAGTGTTCAGACAAGTGGGTCTCTGCGTCTGTGTCTGTTTCTTGTGCCTTTTCTTAGGCTCCTTTCCTTCTGTTTATTTGTTTTGTCCTTATTATATTTTATTTTCTCATTATCCCTTAGATGCCTGTTTGTTTTCTAATAAGAGATAAAAAAAATGGGGTAGATCTGGAAGGGGGGAGGGGAGGAGGAACTGGGAGGAGTAGAGGGAGAGGAAACCCTAATCAGGATATGTTATATGAGGAAAAATTTATTTTCAATAAAAGGGGAAAATAAAATAATACCATATTTGCTAACCAAACAAAAATAAAACAACAACAACAAAAACCAGAACTAGGTAAGTAACTTGCAGTTCAAAAGGTCAGGAGTGCAAATGAGCCCACAGAACAGTCAATGCATGGTGGGGCTGCATTCCTTCTGAGTGCTCTGTTCAGTGGTGTGACCACTCAACACAGTTCCTCATGTGGTGGTGACCCCCCAACCATACAATTGTTTTTGTTGCTACTTCATAACTATAATTTTGCTACTGTTAAGGATTGTAATGTAAATATCTGTGTTTTCCAATGGTCTTAGGCGAGCCCTTGGTTTTCCAAGCCTCGGAGGACTAGTTTCCTATGACTCTGGCCTGTGTTTCTGTCATCATGTCTACTTTGACCTTGACCCTTTGCCTTCCTTTCTATGAGTCCCATAATGCTAACATACTCAGTGCTACAGAACTCTCTCTAGGGATTCCCATGGGAAAGACCTAGGTTGGGATGTAGGGCAGGGCACTTGAGACTTGATCTTGACAGGTGGCTTGTAGCAAGAGCTGGGAGGTCTTGGGATGTGACGGAGGGTTTGCATTGAGATCAAGAACAGCACTTTTTATGGGCAGCATGGCTTCACCACTAAAGCCATGCCATGCGTGTGGCTTAGCATTGATCTAGCCCTTCTTTCTGTGAGTCTGTGTGTTCTTTTCACCCTCATCCAGGATCAGTCAATGTCCTGGGACTTTAACATGTGTTATACTTAGCCCTTTCCTTTGGCTTGTAAGCCTTTAAGGCTCCTGTCTTCCCTTCACCAGAACATGCCCAGGTCATGAGCCAATTCATTGTTAGTCTGGATTTGAACTCGGGAACTATGAAAAGTTCTGCTTTTGAAAATGAACTTTTAATCCCCACATGTGTTCAGGAATGGACATCCATTTAGATGTATAAGGAAAACATGTAGAAAAGACCATGTGGGCAAAGCAATGGGTTGCTTCAAGGGGAGAGCCTTAGTCCTTATTGGTTAATAAGTTTACACGGGAACTTCCCTTATGGAATTTAATGATTACAGGAAGTACCTCTACATCATACTGTAAGAATGCTCATATCTTGCATAAGATCATAGCTTGAATAGGTATTCTATGATAAAAACTTCACAGTCCAACCTTCAGAGTAAATCAGATACAAACTCTATGGTGGCAGCATAACATTCTGGAATACAGGATGGTTGTAAGCATGTGAAAAAATAGATAAACAAACAGATAAGTCAAAATCTATAGTCAAGAGGATTATTTGTAAGACATACCTGACCGTGGCTTAAATATCTGTTGAGCTACAGTATTATACTCAACTTTTTCCAAAGGGTGAAGGGTCATAGGACAAGAAATACAGAAGAGGCAGATGGCGAAAATTGCTTCTGGTCTCTGAGAGTTTTATCAGCCTCTACCTGGTCACAAATGCACTTAGAAGCATGTTGCTTAGACCCTGGAGACAATGTCCAGCAGAAATACTTTTGCTCTTGGTGTTTGAAGTTTTTTTTTAACTTGGACAGAAAGGAGCATTTGCTCTGTTCATGTATTTAACTGATGGGTTAAATACAAGCAGTAGACACCACAGAATTTGTGGGTCCTTATTTTAATGAAGATAGAATAAGGTCTTGATGGAGCGTGCACTGTCTACAGAGTTCATCAAAGCAGTTTATTATATTTACAAACCAGATTATTACACAAAGTGTCTGGAAGCACCATTAGTGCTGTCTAAAGATGCATTGGTGAAAATTGGAAGCAAATCCTATTTTAACATTCTGAAACCTGATAATAGTCTTGCTAGTTAGGAAACTACCTTATCGCAATTTTCCTAAAAGTTAACCTAGTCCGGTTTTGCAATGGAGTACAGGATGGTTCAGTCGAGAGGTATAGTCATTACCCTATGAAAAGTTCCTGCAACAAAGGACATACCAGCTCTTTACTCATTGTAGAAGTGTCTTTATGACTGTCAGACAGACCAGGTAAGGTGCCAGGGATCAAAGTGTTTGTGTTTACTTCTCTGAAACCTGGTGGTGCCTCCTGTGTGCCACACATACACACACACACACACACACACACACACACACACACACACACACACACACACTTCTTGGTGAGTGCTGAAAACTGGAATTCACCCATGTCTCTCTTTTTCCTGTCTAAGATGCAGATGGGGCACATTCTGTGGACTCTGTCCATCCCTGCCCCCACACGCACACGTATGCCTAGCCAATGGAAAAGAAAAACGACTTACTCACAGTCATCCACTGTACGAAGATTTCCAGCTGCAATGGGAGGGCTTTGCCTCTCCTTGAAGGATGAATAAATAGGTAGCTGAAGAGACAACCTGTCCACAGTCAGGCTGAAGTGAAAACCAGACCCAGGTCCTGCTCATCTGGTAGTTGGAGACCCAGTTCTGGTGGCATGGAGAGGACCCTTATCTGTCTGATAGTCATCTTCTTGGGGACAGTGGCCCATAAAACAAGCCCCCAAAGGCCAGATCGCCTCCTGATTAGACTTCGTCACCTTGTAGACAATGTTGAACAGCTGAAAATTTATGTGAATGACTTGGTAAGGCCATCTTTGCACAATGAAATTTAAATAATATTTTTCAACTAATGTGAAAGGAATCTTTTGACTTATATCACTAACTCAGAACTAATTCTCTTTTGGCTAGGATCCTGAACTTCTGCCAGCTCCACAAGATGTAAAGGTAAGATCAGCTGAATTGATTTCTGAAAATGTACTTTATGTAAACTTCAAAGTCTAACAAAGCTCTAAAATGATGATTTAGGTGTATGCTTCTTTTCAATGACTTTGGGAATTAATAATTGGTAAAATATTCATTTTCATTTTGTCTATGTAACCAAAAGTTTACTAGCAAACTAAATAATGACATATCATATTATATCCTTATAAAATGCATGTTTACTCTTTAGAGCCTCTAAGAATACTAAGAGTCATTACTAAGACAAATCAACAAGGATATAAATCTGTGCTGGGATCAGTTTCTGAATGAGAAATAGATAATCACATTTTCAGGGCCTTAGGCATGAAAGCTCTCTAAGTTTCTTTGTAATCTTATTGAAGATAAGAGGTAATATTTGAATTTTAAAAGCAAATCTTTAAAAAGAAAGAGAGAAGTAGATTGTAAGGAAGGCACAGAGTATGGAAATCAAAAGTCTCTGAGTGTAATTCCCATGTACCTTGGCCTCAGTGAGTCCTCTTGTCTTTGGCCTTTGGCGAGGTCTTTCAAAAGGGTCATTTTCAACAGATGCACATTCCAACTCCTGCACCATTCACAGCCGAGTCCCGTGGAGGAGAGGCTTGGCATGCAGTGCAGAGGGGCTTCTGCCAGGCTTTCTTTCCCCCAAGAACTTCTTTGATCTGGTCTTCTGCTTGGCACCTTAACATTGTGAATGAAACTGGGGAAGTGCTCACACTGCTAGACCTTTAATTGCGTGAATTAGGAAAACCAGGAAAGTGTTACCAGTAATTAGGGCACCACACAGATACATTCAAAGAAAAGAATTATGGTAAATGACAGTGTTAAAGTTTAGAAAGTGAATGAGTCACAGCTTCTGCTCTGCTCCGCAGTTCACTCTCTAGTTCTAGCTCTGAACATGACCACTCTTGTGTTTACTAGATCCTTCCTAATAGACAGCCGCTAAAATGAAAGTAGCACATTCAATTTATTGAAAGGACATTTTCAATAAGCAAGAATATTTTTTAACATGTCTATTTCTCAGCATCTTACACACTGTGTTGATTGCTGTGGGTGAAGTTCTTTCCGGGGTTTCCTACCTACAGTCTATACTTTGCAAAGTAAAAAATAGGAAAATCCCTCGTTTTCAGCGGGTTGAGCCAATGACTACTTCTTATATATGCTTTTTATTGAAAGATGTCGTTTTAAGTCTGAATTTCCCAGTAGCCACCTTAATGTTTATCCCGTTACATTGCTATACACATTACTTATACAAGTTGACTGTATATCTGTGATTGTGTACACCCATACATCTTGTCCACCTGCCCTCTGTCCTCTCCCTCTGCCCCCTTCCCAGTCTCTAGGGATCCATCTTCTCCTGCAGGATGTTTCAAAATCTTACATCTCCATGAGACTGTGTCTCAGTGAACTGACATCTTCCTGACGATCTGATCAGGCAGTGCTATCTACGAAGCCATGAGCACAGCTCTAACTGACATCTCCGAGCTCTGCTGGCAGGCAAACTCAGGACCATTTGAGGAAGAGGAAGGCAGTAAGGGCCACAGGAGCTGTAGATCAGGTTTTCAGCGCTAGATCCAAAGCAGGGTCTGTAACAAATTCCACAAAGCTACTGAGGTCTGTAATGGACACCCCCTCTTCTGCATTTCCTGGTCTCATCTCTCCAGGGGTTTGCCTCCCCTCCCTAGGGAGGCACTTGACAGTATGTGGGGAAACTTTGGTCGGCACCATTGGGAATGAGGGTGAGTGTGCTACTGGCATCTGGCTGTTAGAGGCCAGGGATGCTAGTGAATGCTCTAGACTGTAGAATGGATCTGACAGCAAAGTCACCCAGTGCCTCAGTCACGGTCTGTTGGGAAGCTTCCGTCTGTGAGTGATGTGACAAAGGTAAGTCGCCTAACACAGCCGGTGAGACACTCCACACTGACAGGCAATGTCTTTCCTTCCAAAGGATGAAAATACAACCAGGTCAGAAACAGGTTTAAGGAATTCATCTTGTTTTTTCAGATATCCAGTTGCAGAACTAGCAAGGCAGGTGTGCCTTTTATGAGAATCTCTTTTCTGGCTGAAGAGAGAGCTGGCTTTTTAACTCCTCCCTTTGGCTTCTTTGCTGTGCCATCCATGCAGAAGCCATGCACATCTAGAAAATGCCTCACATTCTCCAGCGAGGCCCAGCTGAGGAAGCAGCCAGGAGCACCTGGCTTCGTCATCCTCTAACTCTGAGCCTCCTGGGAGCCCGGAGGCTCGATCCCCTCCATGTTCCCACTCAGCCCTGCATCCCTCAGGCAGGGCCTGCTTCCTCATCACTTTTCTGCCTTTGCTGTGCACTAAAGTCCAACCTGAAGATCCTTGTTCCGGATCACACATTTCCAGAGACAGGCTGCTTCCTGTAGGACAAAAACCGAACCAAGGCCAGTGTCTGTCAGTGGTGGACAGGGAAGGATGGGGACAGTGGTGCGTCCACATCCTGATGTCATATCTCTCTTCTAGTCTGGATGTGAAGCTTTGATGGCTGGGCCTGACCCTTCCTGACAGGATAGTCTCAGGGAGGTGGCTTTTAGGACGCCTCCCCAAGCTTCTTTGGAACCTAATTTTCTTTCAGTGTACAAATGAAAATGTTAACTCAGCAAAATGAACCTCTGTGAGAAATGCTGGTTTCTCAGATCATCACGGATGAAGCAGTTAGCGTTTTCAGTTTCAGCTGGAAAATTTACCTCTTTAAATATGAATATTATTTTTTTCCAGTAAGTTAAGCCGGTTGTGGTCAAAAAGAAGAGAAAAGAAAAAACTTCAACAAACATGAACATGTGGTTTTCAAGGAAAAAAAAGTGCTATAATTAACATTTATAAATAGTTTCTATTAAATAAGCATTTTGGCAAACATGGGAAGGCCGGCACCTCGCACTGGTGGCAGGCAAGCCACCCTGATAGAAGGAACTAGATAAGGCTTGCTGCGCTTGCGGCTACCTATGCAAAGCGAGGCTGATGGACTTGTGTTATTAGTCAACATTCACATCGGGCAAGTGTACGCGCTGGAAAATGCAAAGCAGGCTGCTCTTTCAGCTGATTGTCCCTGAGAAGGTTCAGGCAGCGTCGCTGGGAAGGAGGGAGGCCTTTGGTTGGAAGCTGGTGCCTTCTGTGCACACCAGTGAAATGAAGATGTGGCAATTCCGGGGGGAGAATAACAGCACACAGACATTTGCTAAAGGAAAGGGCGATGTGGGTGAAAGCCACCCAGACAGGAGCTCTGGGATGAGTGAAGCGTTGCAGGTGTTGCCCTTCCAGAGCCGAGGCTTTGGCTCCATAGAGAAGCAGCACTTGCCTGGTGTGTCCTTCCAGCGCATTCCATTGCTAAGAGTTGGGCTTCTCCGCTGCCCGGTAGTTATGTGGCCAAACCAAAGGGAAGGCTTTGCTTCTCATTCCCTCCACTTTCCCAGTCTCTGTGACGCACTCTGCTAAAGAGGCCGTCCTTCCGCTGGCTAAGCAAGTCTTACCTTCTGGATTTTGACTCTTGATTCATGGGAAACCCTGCCCTATCCAGACAAGGATGTGACTGGGGCTTCACAAAATGTTTGATGGCCTGAGCAGGTGCAATGACTCTCAGATCGAGCTACTGCCGTGGTCTGAACTCACTCACCTCATTGATCGATTCCACAAACAGTAACTGAGCACTTGCTGATGACAGGCTGTGACAGGCACAGACTAGAACCCTGCTCCAGGCATATCACCCATGAGACTCCTGAGTGCATGGTGGACAGATGTGGCAACAAGTGGAACAGATCTGTTAGATCGCTTTCCCAGAGTTGCCACTGCTCACAATTTACAGCCTCAGAATTCAGCAACTGTGCTCTTACACTAAATTCTCTGTCACAGAAAGGCTGGTCTGTTAGCTCAGTGGTAGACTGCTTTCCTAGTATATGTATGGTCCTGGGTTTTCACCTCACACACACACACATACACAAATATGCCTGTGTGCACAGTACACACACACACACACACACACACACACACACACATCCAACCCCACAAAGCTCATGCCCACACCACTTTAACCTCCGAGTGGCATTCAGCATAGTACCAGGCATAGGAAATCGTGAAGGGTGAAGCTCATCTCTGTGCAGCAGGAAGGGGCTCCTTCTTCTTCTCCTAGATACGGAAACTGTCTGAGTGGAACTTCTGTCTTCTGCAGAGTTTAAGTGGAGATATGACCAGACCTAATGCAGCCACTAAAACAAATGCCCAAGACGAGATAATGCAAACAGAAATTGAGGTCTGGAAGGTCATTTTTAACCTTTGGGATAACATTCATTAACATATGCTCATCATCTTTTTCAGGGTATTAACAAATGCTACTTATCTCTTTCAGGACATTGACATATACTAATTATCTCTCTCCGGGTATTAACATATGCTAATTATCTCTCCTTCAGGAGCATTGTGAGCACTCAGCTTTTGCCTGTTTCCAGAAGGCCAAACTCAAGCCAGCAAACACAGGAAGCAATAAGACGATCATCAGTGACTTAGTCACTCAGCTGAGGAGGAGGCTGCCTGCCACCAAGGCTGAGAAAAAGCAGAAGAGCTTAGTTGTAAGATTGCCTTTTGTTATCTCTCTTGTTTGCAGTATATTACCTATCTTACTTTTACTTGAGTACTGTAACATATTGTGCTTTACAAACACACACAGCTAGACACCTCCCCCCCCCCCCCCGTGCCTTCTTGAAGAGTTAGTCCACATCGTACAAGGTACATTTTGAGAAATGGTGTCACCTCTCAGGTCTTCCCATTCTGTCTAGAAACCCAACTTGAACTGGCTACCACCCTGGCAGTCTGTTAATGGAAGCTTCCAGAGTGAAGAAGCCATTCGGAAGAGAATCTAATTGTTAGAAGTGAATGTTTTCCATTCATTCATGTGCTGGAGTTACTCTTGTCATTGTTATGGGGGAATAGATCCCAATTCTCCAACAAGAAAAGAGATAACCTATAAGATGCCAAGATTAGAATATTACTGTCCTAGAAAAAGCAGAGTTAATATTGAATTTAAGGGGAACGACCTTTTATGAGGCTGGAAAACTTCCAGGTTCCTTCTTTGGGACTCTGAATTTTTCTTGAATATCTTCTCTTTGACCAACTCACTTGCAATTCAGAGACTCAAGAATTGAGTAACTCAAGCATTAACCAAAACCAGCAGAGATAACAAAAAGGAGTTGCTCTGTTTTGTTTGCCAGTCTATTCTTCAAGAAATTGTACATGGACTGAAATGAAACAGTAGTTACATTATGAGTGGGGGTCTGGTTTCTTTTGATTGCTCCTCGAGGTTAGTATGTGAAAATGTCCCTCTAAAATGTTCTTCACAAAGAAAGGAACTGCCTGAGATGGTAGTGCATGTCTGTGAGCCCAGTACCCAGGAGGCTGAAGCAGGAGGATTGAGAGTTCCAGGACAGCCTGGGTTATGAGGGTGAAACCCTGTTCAAGAAGCAGGAAGGAAGGAAGGAAGGAAGGAAGGAAGGAAGGAAGGAAGGAAGG